CGTTGCGCTCTCACACTACTTAAATGAAGGAAAATTATTTCTAAATTTGGAAATTAATAAAAAAAAAAAAAAAAAGGTTTTACTTGTTTTATTTTGTTCAATGTTTGAGGAGCTGCAGCGTACATACAGCAGGCATCTATTAGAGAAAAAAGGAGGAGGTTATTAAAAACAAAGTTTATCCATTTTTACCGAGTCGAATTAAGGTAAGTTGTAAACACCACATCTGCGCTTGTGTGTACGTTACATCTGCCGGCGCCGGCATTTTTCAAATTAACAACGGTTGTTCACGGCGACGCAAAGAATTGTGGGTTATCTGTAACAGCGAAGGATACACCTCATGCATCCTCCGAAATCCTGTCAAAGAAGGACGCAGCCTTCTAAATGAGACACAGCTGCGGTCACCCCTACTAGTTAATGTAGTAGACGCAGGCAGTGTCTATACAGTTGTTTTTTCAGCACTGCAACATTGCACAGGTCACAGTTGTTGCAACCACATATTTTATATATTTGATATATTACCCTCTTATTTATTTGGAGCCCTTTTCGTTTGCTTTAGGCTATTTTGTTATTTTATTTTATTTATTTTTTTGTATATAATAATCCATAATAATCCACCAAAGTCTGGTGTTACTGACATACAGACAGATGATGAGATTGAGTGGAGGGTCAATGGAACTCGTATAGCACAATTCAGAGACGGACTGCAGCTGGACAGTCAGACTGGAGATCTCAAGATCAGCAACATCAGAACCACAGACTCTGGACTCTATAAAGTAAAGATCAGCAGCTCCGAATTCCTGTGAAAGAAGGTCGCATTCGAAGTGTCCTACTTGCTTTTCTGAAATGAGACAGCCTCGATGACGTATGCGACCTCCGGAGGACGCAGCCTTCTAAATGAGACACAGCTATGTTATTTGTTAATGAAAACGAAAATAACTGGAGCCTGAATTGTTAGTTCTTGACTTTTAATGACCGAATTACACTTTAAATGAAAGACTTACTTTAATATTGTAATGACGTGAAAAAATACAAAATATAAAGCGATTAAATGTCGACTTATATCTTACTAAAATGTGATTTTATGTTGTTTATTCTATTATTGATTATTATGTGTATAAATGGACCGTGGTGAACATATTTAAACAGGTTTTCAACCGTTTAGTTTTATGCAGCTGAATATAAAAAGTTCACTTACACACGTTACTGCCGCTCGTCTACTGCAGCTGACAAAGTTGCTAGGCAACAAGAAGAGTCCTCCGTAGGCTACACCGGTCCGAGTGCTTCGGAAGCAGCCTTGATATGCTTCGCAGTTGTAGCAACTTAGCAATAAACTTTATTCGTTTCATCTCCAAAATAACAAAGTGGTGGAGTGTAACGAAATACATTCCATAA